TTGTTCTCCTCACTCTCCAACCCTGTACAACTTGCAGCTTTGATTTCGACATTCAGAATTTCCCAAAACCTCTTCTAGAGGATAATGCATCACAACCATACAAAGAAGGGAAATACACTTGATCTTCACCATTCTGAGAAGAAACATCATTTTTCTAAAGCAGAGGAATGACAAATGGACAAACTAAAAGAGGAATGGTCATTGGACAGAGACTGCATCATCAAACTATGCACTTAAGGGGAATCTCTGCAACTCTTTGATCACATTCTCTGATCCACAAAGATGTGACTTCTTCTTAGGTCATCTTTAAATCTGCTAACCCCCGACAAAATTAGAACACAGATGTACCCTCTCCTATCTCCTGCTTCCTCACTAGCTGTAACATGACAAGGAAAGAAAGTCAGACAAGCCATGAAAGGAAGCATAAACTCACTAGGCAGGTATGGAAATTCATCCCTGAGAGCACCAGGAACTCATTGAGGACTCAAGCTGTAAATGTCACCCTGAAGTCTTACTCCAGATAACAAGTACGATTTCATTTTATATAAATAAGTTAACTATTTAATATAGTCAATAGCTCTCCTCAGTTTTCCTACTGTGTGGCCTGCTCACCTCTCACAAACATGAAGCCCCATGTTTAAAAGTTTTATTGTGGGCCTCTTTCTCGGCCTGTCTTCTGGAAAAGCATAACAAATTCTCTTTTAGATTCTATTTCTTCTTCTTCACATATAAAAAATTGTCTTAGGAGGTCAAAATAAGTATTTGCTGCTAAACAACACCCACGGTTTCAAATGAAAATGTACTGATCAGAAATGGGGGAAAAGAACCATGACCTTCCAGGAAAGAAAGGCCTGAACCAAAGTGTAGTTACATCTGTGAAGAAACTCTACATTACAAAGTCATAAGGAAGAAACAATTTTGAATAAAGAGGTTTCACAGAGCAGCAGAGTGACATAGTGAGCATCAACTCAGGCCTTTCCCACTACCTGCAATTTGACTGTGAGCCAACCACTTTATCCCATAAATAATGAGCTGTCCTTGAGCTCTTCATGCAAGGCATCAAGACTGTATGGCAACCATCTCTGTTGAAGTGGGATGGCTCACAAGGTTGCTCCTCAAGGCTGAAAGCCCTTTTACCAATGACAAAACTTTGTTTGAGTCCAATTTCACCTCTCACTCAAGTGTAGCTGGACTGCCTGCCAGGTGACTCTCTCCTTCAGCAGGCACATCTCTCGGGGTTTGAAAGTCCTCTGGTGAGACTAAGACATCTATCCTTACCCAAGGCACTGAGAATCCTTACCCAAGGCACTGAGATTCCTCACCTGCAACAGATCTTTACTAAGTGGATGAAACCTAAACACAAATTAAATGCATGCAGCTAATTCCACTAAATACAAGCCATTGTCCAAGTCTAAAACTAAGATTGGACCTGACTGCACCTAAACTCCATCAGCAGTTTAGGTAGCAAGAGTGTCCACTCTGAAACTTGTGACTCAGCATGAGGAACTCCCTCACTCATTTCAATCTCCAGTCTCTGTGTAAATAATTCCAGGTTGATTCTGAGTCAATTCTTCTTTGTGTGTTTCATCCATGTAGTAAATAATAGATATTGCACCCAGCCACACCTAAGATCCACGACGAGTTAAGGAAGCAAGGGGATCTATACGATAACAGTCCTTTTTATATTTCAACACTGAAAGCAATAGAGTGAACCTTGTTATCAAACTTTGTTATGATCCATTTCTACAACATACTAAAGCCACTTTTGTTAATACTTCTGACAGGGAAGCATTAAGGAATAGAAATCACTCATTCACAACATCCAGCCATGCATCAGGCCTCTAAAGGCAGAGTTATTGGACAAATATTATCAGAGGACTACAATTGCCTTTCAGGACAGGGAAGCCCAAATCATAGACAAAAATGACACAGGCCTTGACACCAGGCAAGAAATCAAACCATTGATCAGCCAAAACCACATTGACTCACATGTTTTCCTGGTACAAAGTCAGCCTCTCACCCCCCTTGCTCTGCATTCACAGCCTCTTTCACACCACGGACAAATCCAACTTCAGACCACACGTCAACCACAACTGACAAAGCAGATGGTTCATTCAGCAAGATTTTAGGGAAACAGAAATCTTTGTCTTGGCAGCTGAACACCTTCAAGGTATGGAAGAGAACTCCTCCTGCAGCCTGAGAGTTTGAACAGATCTCTCTGGTTTTAAGAACTATCAGCCAAACTGAGGCCCACTTTTAGAACATGAGAAGGAACAAGAATGAAAAAAGGAAAAATGGGAAACTCGCAATAATGTAGGAATCTTACCTTAACATTTCCACATATAACTGTAGGAGGAAGAGGACTGAGTATCGAGAGGTACAGTTCTCCAAGTAATTTCTTTGGAAAACAGGGAAAACACACAGGAACACAATTATTGGATCCATACAACAGCCAGGGGAAATGGAACACTCTACCAACCTTTTAGACATTCCTAAATGCACCACAGCAAACGCTTCCACCTGCCCTGACTCTGTGCAGACAGAATGTTTCAGCATGTCCAAACATCATGGAGCAAGGCAAGCTNAGATTCACATTTCAGATTGTGTCAGCTCTGGTAGGAACACAAAGGAAACTGGTTGGTAGGAAGTACACAGGAGGCTCACACAGGAGCTCACAGCATAGACCCCAGAGACGCTCATGTCTTTGGCCGTGGAAAAACAAACAAGTTTGGAACCACATCTGTGGCCTCATCCAACAACTGGATCAAACTGGACCTTTACACCTCTCTTTTAGCCACTTCACACTGTGCCAGAGTGAACTCCTGCACCAGCCTTTTCTCTGGACAGACAGAACTCTTTTCCCCATCCAAAACCCACACAACAGGAAAGTTAAATCTGCAGACACACACCTGTACAAGAAAAGTTGCACACAAAACTCCTTAGATCCCAAGCATCACTAAAAGATTATTCTGCTCATTCCAATAATTTGAATAACTTTAAAATGTTATACAGATCAAAAGCAATCAGAAGCTCAGTTAAAAACCCAGTCTTCGCAGTAGCAGCTCAAAGGGAACATTACACATGGGCCCTTTGAAAGCTCTACCACTCATAATGTAAGATGTGCTGAACCCAAAACTTGGCCATTTGAGTCCAAAACATGCAATATTAAAAAATAAGACTAATTCTGACTTATTTTGATAAGGTATGGCTGCAACTCTGGGAGTCAACAAAACACAGGCCATGTCTCCACCAGCACCTCCTCACACACAACACACCCAACACGCTCCTCAAACTCTTCACAGCTCTCATGGTTATCAGAGATCTTCAAGATTGACAGAAAGACCCTCCCAAAAAAAGAAACGTTGCTCAGACAATGTCTCCTTACTATGGATAATATTTGACTTCTCACCCTTGGCATGTCACAAGCAAGAGCATTTCTTACAATGACAGTTGAAAGAAACATGTCTCTGAAAGTCTCTTTCCAGCTGTAAACAGGAAAGGCACCGACAGAACAGGCAGGCAAATAGAACAGATCTCATCTTCCACACACTGTCAGACAGAAAGAACCATCTTTAGGTCATCAAAGAGCAAGGCAAGAAACAAACAGCTGCAGAAAGGAAGAGATCATGACACACTATTCCCAGTTATGTGACTAAGACTAAACAATAATTCCGGTGTTTAGTAAGCAGTGAACACACATCTTTCTTTCCCCAAAGCTCCTTTCCACATAACCTTTGTCATAACTCCATAATTAA